GTGACGTTTAGCTTCAATCAGCGTGACGTTTAGCTTCAATCATCGTGACGTTTAGCTTCAATCTTCACACACAACTCCTCAAACCATTAGTTTCCTGAAATAAACTGCCCCCCGCAACGTGGGAACAAGTTATTTTTTCTAAAGTCCTTAAAGTAAATGACTTTTAGAAAACTAACATGTTCCCATGTTGGGGGGGGGGGGGGGGGCAGTTTATTTCAGGAAACTAATACTAATAATACAAATCAAAAGTTTGACAGTGACGTGTCGTCTGAGGAACTGTGCTCAGTTTGCAGAAATAATTTTTGCATAAATCTTCTAAAGTAGCATTAATAATAATAATAATAATAATGTCATCATCACAATGTCAGCACTGTATGTTTCCATACAATGGCGAAATTAGTCTCTGCATTTAACCCATCCATCACCAGGTGGTGCAGTTTAATCATTGTGTTTGAAACATTAACACCAGAAACTTGAAGGTTCTGTTCAGGAACTCGTGAAAATGTTTCAACAATACGGAACATTTTTAACATTTCCACTCTTTGGTTGAACAAACCTGACATGCAAATAAAACTAACTCTGTGGAAAATGTTCGTGAAGCCACGTTCTCACGTGCACGTGGGTCTTCACCTTCTTCTTGTCATATTATTAACGGTTGGAAAAAAAGCCGCATTTCACCTTGATTTGCTTTAATTCCACACATTTAAAACCTGTTTCTCAGCCAGTTTGTGTAAGTTCAGCTGTGGCGTTAGAGACCTGAACTTTGCACATGTTATTTACACAGTGTCACAGTTGAGTGCTAAGATGCTCCAGATGTTGCGCTCCACGTCTCTGAGCATCCTCCGAACTATCTACACATGTTTATGATCAACCGCCCGCACGGCGCGTGTTTTGAGTGAATCCGCTCCTTCCTCTCTGCCGTTCTGCTCATCATTTACACGACACCAGCGCCCCCCCCAGTCTGAAGGTTTCTGAACCCACCTTCCAGAGTGGAGGTTTTCAGCTGACCCCCCCTGATAATGTAAACACTGAGGCTTTGTGTTAAACCACATGCGCACACGTGGACAGACGCTATATTTCTGTCAACATGGCGGCGGACACACTGCTTTCTGAACCTCGACTGATGGAATATATTTTTAATCTCGTAGTTAATCTACGTCAGATTCCAGGTGCTGTGACCAACATCTGTGTTGGAAGAGACACAGTCTGATCCAGTTCTAATGTCGCTGTTTATAGAAGAGTCACGTGCACACCTCGCGCTGCACTATAACATACTAAATGTGCTAAATAACAAGTTTAATAATAATAAACAGTATTTATGTTAGTGTGAGAGATAAAATGAAGCTATGTGGACATGATGTAATTCAAATTTAAAATGATGCTAAACATATAGCGTGAACACTAAAGTTGAAAATGAAGACATCAGGTTTAATTTTTATTTATTTATTTATTCAACACAAACTGTATGTCACACAAACACTGATAATTAAACTGAACACTCTATTAAAACACGTTACCATACCACTTTATTTATAAAGCACTTAAAACAGCTACAGGTCCTTCTAAAAAAATTAGCATATTGTGATAAAGGTCATTATTTTCCATAATGTAATGATAAAAATGAAACTTTCATATATTTCAGATTCATTGCACACCAACTGAAATATTTCAGGTCTTTAATTGTTTTAATACTGATGATTATGGCATACAGCTCATGAAAACCCAAAATGCCTGTCCCAAAAAATGAGCATATTTCATCCCACCAATGAAAGACAAGTGTTTTTAATACAAAAAACACAAACCTTCAAATAATCATGTTCAGTTATGCACTCAATACTTGGTCGGGACAAAGCGGTCCCGCTTGGCGTCAAATGTGTCGACTCTTATCCACAATCCAGCTTTAACTTGTTTTGATGTTGTTAGCTGAGCTCTTAGCCCAGTCCTTACAGGGAGGGAGCGTGCGAGGCAGCACGCACATTAGGTGAAGGTACAAAATTCACAGCGCCATCTAATGAGCCGGCATGGTAACTACAGCGGATTCAGGGGGGCTGGGGTGGATTCTTCCAGATGCATGTAAACACAAAATCTGTTCATGTCAACGCAGTTCTTTTCCTCTAATTAACATACGAAAAAAACAGTTTCCCCCCATTGTGTCCGTGTAAATGGTTTCTTGCTAAACTGGCAAGTGACCCAGAGGTGTCTCCACCTCCTCCTGGTAGCATAGTCTGCCGAGGCAGGAGACGCAGAGCGGAAACACTGCAGACTGCTGCTGGAGGGTAGGAGGTAACCAGGAAGACCTGGAGCGGAGTTTTAAAAGTGGTTTGAGTATTCTATTAATCAAGTGGAATGGAGTTGTTCACAAACAAATAGAAACAGCGCTGACTGAACTAATGTTTCATGGTAAATGTGTGTGTGTGGAGGGGGAGGCTCCAAATGAACTTTTTTTTTTTATGTGGACGGGGACACGTCCCCTTCACATATAACTGTTGTGACGCCTATGAGTCAATACATTGCACAGGTTCAATTTATTTAATTATTATTGTATTATTATTGTAATCTGTCTCGGGGGGGGGGGGGGGGGGGGGGGGGGGGGGGGGGGGCAGTGCAGATACCTGAATGGGCGGGCCCAGCCCGGCTGGCCCGCCCTCTGGCGCCGGGTCCAATGAGTCTGTCATGAACAGATGGGTGAATGAATACAGCAGCATGAGATAATCAGCAGCACGAGATAATCAGCAGCACGAGATAATCAGCAGCATGGATAAGTCACATATCACCAGTTAAAGTGGCAAGTGATATTTTTCTTACAGGGATTATCCTGGTTAGGGATTTATGAGTCGAACAGCTTCAGGGTAGAAGCTGTTATGCCCCTTTTCCATTAGTAATGGTACGTAGAACCGGTCCCTTTTTTCAGAACCCTTCGCTCTGTGGTTCCAACTGGGCCGAGCAGGTACCAAAACGTGACGTCAACACTGTCGGTCACTGATTGGTCAGGGGGCGGAGTCACTGGATCTTTAAGAAACTTTTCAAAACACCAATCCACCAGCTGCAATTTCTCTGAACTTGGAGCAGTGGCTGTACATTTTTGAAAGATTTTAACAACAATAATGACAACACTGTGGTCCAATGCCGACTTGGGGCCCGGGATCCCGGCCTTGCGTGCTCTGTGGCCTCCGAGCTCCGCTGGTCACCACGGAGGATCATATGAGCTGCTGACTCGCAGAAGGCCGTTGCCTGGACCCCGGCCTTATGTGCTCATGAAGGCCGCACCCCGACCCCGGCAGACGGGTCTGGCACACGGAGGGTGGAAACGATTTTTAAAAACATTTTATGTAATTTTTTAATCAGTGAATATTAAATAAATAAGTAAACAATGCCGGCTTTATCGTGAAATCCTGTTGTCATTTTAATGACTATTAAATGTAGTGAACTAAGCCTCAGGTCAAAACCTGACCCTGAAGACCTTCATGGGACAGGAACTGTTATTTCATTGATTTGAATCCAGAAATACAAATTAAGCTCATCCAGAGACTTTCTAATTGTATCCTGCACTAATCAATTGAAAGAACACTCTCTTTTTATTACTATTTTTACAATGTCTCGATAATCCAAAAGTGTGTTTAGTTCAAACCATTTTAAATGTTGAAGTGAACCACTCATTTTAAATCAACTGTGAAACAGTATTAATGATTTTTAATCCTCATTCAAAGTAGAAATCAAGTTAAAATGTCTGTTACAAAGTAATTATGCATTTTTTGATCTTCTATCTGAAATGAGAAGGAGTGATGTCGGTCAAAAGTCGGAGACAGTCGCAAACAAGTTTATTGGAACAAACTGTCATGTTTTTAAACCTCTCAGACAGAAACAAGAGAAGCTGGCACCTGGGGTCTGTCATTTCGCCAATACATTTCTCTGTCTGCTCCTAAACATTTCTCTGTCTGTTCCTAAAACATCTCCGCTGTTTTTCTGACTTGTAATAACCCTCTTACATCACTAAAACCACACCCCTGTTGGTTCTTTCAACCAATCAGGACTTCCCAAATGGTTCAATCAGCGTGACGTTTAAGGTTTAATCTGTTAAAGTTAGCTCAGCTGAAAAATCATAAAAAGACACAAAATGATTGGATCTCTCAGGAATATTTCCCTCAAACATGATTAAACAAGAGCTACAGCCTGTAGTTAAACTTTATTCTAACCCACAGATGTAAAAATCACAAAACAAGAATTAAAATTTAAAGCAAAGCTAAAAATAATAATAAAAAAAAAAATCTGTAAATAAGAAACAACCACATATCTAA